TCAGACCTTCTCTCCCACCCCGAAGATGACCACTCTTCGGGTACTGCTGCACATAGCTGCTCACCGCGACTACGAGCTGCACTCTCTTGACTTCAGCACTGCTTTCTTGCAGGGCAGCCTGCACGAGGAGATCTGGCTGCGTCGCCCACCTGGCTTCACTGGGTCTTTTCGTCCTCGCACCCAGTGGAGCCTCCGGCAACCAGTCTACGGTCTGCGCGAGGCGCCACGTCAGTGGCACGACACACTGAGGACTACACTTGCGGCTCTTGGGTTTGCTCCTTCTACAGCCGACCTGTCGCTGTTTCTGCGCACCGACACCTCTTTGCCGCCGTTCTACATCCTCGTGTACGACGACGACTTGGTCTTCGCCACAGCTGACACTGCTGGACTCGCCCACGTGAAGTCCGAGCTACAGAAAAGACACACGTGCACAGACCTGGGTGAACTGCGCAGCTACCTTGGCTTGCAGATCACCCGGGACAGAGCACGCCGCACCATTACCCTGACTCAGTCACACATGGTGCAGCAGGTCCTTCAGTGCTTCGGCTTCACGTACTCCTCGCCTCAGGCCACTCCTCTGCCTACTCGCCACTCGCTCTTAGCTCTGCCTTTGGATGAGTCCGTAGAGTCGAGTGGCCCGTACCCAGAGCTTGTTGGCTGCCTCATGTACTTGATGACCTGCACACGACCTGACCTTGCATACCCTCTTAGCATTCTCGCACGCTATGTTGCTCCTGGGAGACACCGACCAGAGCACATGGCTGCAGCGAAGAGGGTGTTGCGCTACTTGTGCAGTACGTCGGGCATGGGGCTTGTGCTTGGAGGGCAGAGTCCAGTGGTCCTCACTGGGCACGCAGACGCTTCTTGGGCTGACGACCAGGCTACGCAGCGGTCGTCACAGGGTTACACCTTCAGCCTTGGTTCCGGCTCTGTTTCGTGGCGGGCTACCCGCTCGTCTTCTGTTCTCGGCTCCAGTTGTGAGGCTGAGATCTACGCTGGGGCCATGGCTGCACAGGAGCTTCGCTTGCTCACCTACCTGCTGACTGACCTCGGAGAGCCGCCTCGTTCTCCTCCAGTGCTGTACGTAGACAACAAGGCCATGCTGGCCTTGTGTCGAGAGCAGAGACTGGAGCACAGAACGAAGCACATTGCTCTTCGCTACTTCCTTGCTCGTGAGCTACAGCAGCGTGGTCAGCTGCGCCTTGCGTACGTGGCCTCTGAGGCCAACACTGCTGATATCTTCACCAAGGCACTTGCGCCTTGTGATCATCAGCGCTTCTGTACTCAGCTGGGTCTTGTGCCTTCCTTGCCTCACTTGCTCACCCCTTGACCTTGTTTGTACTGTTGCATATATATATACACCTGCTCTTGCTTGTCTAGCCTTAAATATATATATATGTAATCCTGCATGTGAACTGGCCTTGTGGCCTTGAACTTGTGCTCGGAATGTGTGGTGACTTTGTGATCCACCCTGAGCTTGCTTTGCTTTGCTTGACTGGTCTTGTGACCCCTTGTTCTCCCCCACTTTGCCTATGGGGTGTGTCAGATTTATATGACATAGCTACTATAGGCTATAGTGGGGCAGCACATATGGGGTACAGCTTTCTGGGGTTTGTACTTGTACCCAACTTTCCCTTAGTCATTTTATTCTCGTTCTCTTTTCTCAGAACACTGCTGGCGCATTCCTCGTGCCAAAAGGCATGACCTTCCACTCGACAGTCCGTCTGGGCCATGGAACATGGTCTTCTTGCGGTCCTCCTCTTTGATGACTATCTGGTTGAAGCCTTGCCTGAGGTCCAGAGTGGAGAACACCATCGCGCCGTGCAGCTTGTCGAATATTTCCTCCGCCGACTGCATCGGGTATTTATCAGGCACAGTCACCTTGTTCAGGCCTCGATATTCTCCGCACATGCATTTAGCCGAGATGTCGCCCGTAATGTCAGTCCTGGCAGCCACTACTGTCGCTGCCGCGTAGTCGCTTTCAGACCTCTTGATCAGCCCCGCCTCTAACTGCTCCTGGCACTTGGCCATGCACACCTCCACGTCTCCTGGGCTCATTCTCCGCTTGCGCTGGTACACCGGCGCCTCGCTGGTTAAGGCTATGCGCATCTCCTGCACGGTGCATCTACCGAGCTCCTTCAGCGTGAATGCGAACGTGCCCCTGTGCTCTTGCAGAATTTTCCTCAGCTCCACTGCAACGGCTGCCCCCAGCCCTTCGCCGACCTCCCACTCCGCCTCCCCCGCTCCTTCCGCCTTCTGCCCTCCCTTCCTTGCTTGTTCGGCCTCCTTAGTGCCAGCTCTCTGCTCCGTTTCTACCGCCATGAACGTCCATCCCTCCATCATCCTCTCTACTCGGTGTGCCTCTATGCTCTCTAGCTGCTGCCTCCTCCACGCTGCTTCCCTCTCATCCTGGTATCGCAGGCTGTCGTCCAGCTCCCTCTGCACAGCCTTCGTCTTGAGGTGCATGCGTATGGTAGAGAGAGGAGGGAACACATACCACTACTCAATCCTGCTCAGCCACACATACCCAACGGGTTGTCGCCTGTTGAAGAGTAAAATCGCAGCTCACGGGCTATTATTGCCGCTATTTCCGCTCGAATAGATGTTCGCAGCTTGCAACGATTCTTCTTTTCCAAGCTAGCAAACCCGGGAGTAGGGCCGGGGCGCGCCGGTAGGAACAGTAGTGGCTCGACGGCAGGGCGGCTCGACGGCTCGGCTGTTGGGCGGCACGGCAGCTCGGCGGCTCGGCTGTTGAGCGGCTCGGCTGCTGGGCGGCTCGGCGGCTCGGCTGTCGGGCGCCTCGGCTGCTGGGCGGCTGGCAGCGTAGTGGCTCGGCTGCTCAGCTGCTGGGCGGCGCAGCGGTGAAGGGGGCCGGTAGAGGCGGCGACGGGGCCGGGAAGAGCGGCGACGGGGCCGCTAGGGGCGGCAACGGGGCCGCTAGGGTCGGCGTCGGGGCCGTTATGGTCGGCGACGGGGCCGCTAAGGGCGGCGAGGTGGCCGCGAAGGGCGGCGACGGGGCCTCCAGGGGCGGCGACGGGGCCGCTAGGGTCGGCGACGGGGTCGCAGAGGGGCCGTAAGGGGCCTAGAGGGGGCGGCGACGGGGCCGCAAGGGGCGGCGACGGAACTGCGAAGGGGCCGCGAGGGGCCTGGAGGGGCGGCGACGGGGTCTAGAGAGGCGGCGACGGGGCCGCGAAGGGGCCGCGAGGGGCCTAGAGGGGCGGCAACGAGGCCGCTAGAGGCGGCAACGGGGCTGCAAAGGGGCCGCGACGGGCCTAGAGGGGCGGCGACGGGATCTAGAGCAGCGACGACGGGGCCGTAAGAGGGGCCATGAGGGGCCGCGAAAGGGGCCGCAAGGGGCCTGAGGAGGACACGACGGGCCGCTAAGGGCTAGGGGCACGACGGGAGGGAGGGCACACGGGGCGCGACTCGGGCAGGAGGGAAGCGCGCTCCGGGCAGGAAGAAAAAATATTCAGTGGTGGGCCCTAGGAAACGTTCCCACTAGGGAACCTGCTCTATACCATGTGAAAGAACAAGGAATGATTCCATTGAGCAGCATGAGGAGTACAAGTAGGAAACCCTAAAGTGTTGTACCCCATATGAGCTACCCCACTACAGCCTACACAGACTATAGCATATAAGTTTGACAGAATCGTCTTTCTCCGCGTACACCGTTTTCAATCGCGGTAACTCGATAACAGCGTAAAGAATAGGCTGCGCCTCCGTGCAGCAAGGGGACAGTTCACATACGTGCTACAAGAATCATCCGTCACTTTTATTGACGCGGCGTGCAACAGCCATCAGTCCCTGCTGCGACTCGAGAAATGTCTCCGCGAATTGCTCTGGGTTCGCGCGAGAAAGCATAGATACTGTAACGTATTGCCCTAACAACTGCCTAGCAATCTAACTTCTCCCTAGTCAAATGTCGAGAGTTCTCTCCACGAAGAGAGAGTTGGAGAAGATGGTTGAGTTGGTTGGGATGAAACTTGGTTTGGGTTTGCCAAGCCTCAACTTTGGAGGCTTGAAACTTTTCCAACTCAACCAAGAGAATATTGAGGGTTCGATTTCCAACCAATCACAAACTGCCACTTCAATGTTACAATCTACTCAATCTAAAATGCAACCATACAATGGTGCAAAGTTGGGTTTTCCAACCCAACCTGATTGCCACATAGGCTTCTAGCCTAGGAACCATCCCACCATGGAAGCCATGGTTGGGAGGGTTCTCCGAAGAGGTGTATTGAGGGGGTTTGAGCTACCAAGCTCATTCTTCACCTCCCACTCCAACTAATCAATTGGAAATGGGATTGTTTCTCTAAGCCCTTTTGGCTCTCTCACACAACTTCCTACACAATTCTCTCAAGCCATTTCAACAACTCCTTCAAGAAGATTGACACCTCCAAGGCTATTGGGAGCTAGTTAAAGCTTCAACTTGTATTGGGATTTATTATAATATCTTGTAAACTCATTATAATAGCCTTGGGTGTTACATTGGTATCTAGAGCAAGGTTCTTCCTTGGCCTTGTGTGGCTATTTGCTACTTGGATTATTTTTTTTAAGAGGATCCTAGCTTGTGGATCTAGGATTTTATCCAAGGAGCAGTGAAGATTTTGAAGAAATTTCAAGATCTACAAAAGCATCTTCAAGATCTACATCTTCCAACTTCAACTTCTTCAAACCACCATTGGAGCTACAAGATCTACAAGGAGCTCCTCTTCTTCATCAACATTGTGACGAAATTTGAAGAGAAATTTATTTTCTCTTACCCACCTTTTGGTGGAAGACTCTAATCTACCTTTGGTAGAAGAGTGTATCTTTAGATCTACGAGGACTTGTTGAGGATTAATCTCTGAGTATATCTTGCTCTATCATTGAGGTGATAGAGAGATTTAGCAAACAAGTCAATCTTAAGAGATTATGTATTGGATTATTCTATAAGAGTAATCAAATTTCTTAAAGATTGTTATAAGGTCTGTTGAGATCTCCTCTCCTTAACCTGTTTCATGGCTTCTGGTCAAGAGATGGATGCTACTAAGGAGGTGCCCGTTGCTGGCAATGAGGGAGATAATGCTGCTGCTGCTGCTCACATTGATCTCAACCTTGGGGACTTCGTGGTTGACATGGAGATCAATGGAAGTGAAGCTGGCCTTGAGGCTGATGCTGAAAATGGGGATGAGGCTGACTCTGATGAGGGTGTCTCTAACGAGACTGAGAACATTGCTGGGAAACTCCAGACTCAACTCACAGAGAATAATCTTCTCATTGGAGAGGAGCAGTGCCGCATCCAGAACTTGGAGGCTGATTCTGTCAAGCTTCAAGCCTTGATTGAGAAGCTGACCAGGGAGGTGCAGTTGATCCCTAAGGAAAACGGCACCTCCAGCTTCATTTAGGACCTGCAGACCACTCTCCAGTTCGGGCAGGATCAGCTCAAGAGGCAAGAGAAAAACATCTCTGTGCTTCAGACTCAGTACAGGGAGATCCGGCATGGCAACCTCTACCAGCCTGCTCCTGCAGCAAAGCGAGTCGCCAATGCCGCTAACAACCATGTTGCGCCTGCTGCTGCACCTCCTGCTATTCCTCCTCCTTTTGGAGCACGTGCTGAGCCTCCTACTGCAGCTGCAAATGCCTTTGGCTCCTGCCCCTCGGCCCTGCCTCGTTTTTTCCATGGCAAAACTGACGTTGAGACTTGGCTCTCCATTGCGGAGGACTTTATGTCCATCCACAATGTGCGTAGCGAGGCTTGCGTGGTCGCTGCGACCCTTGCCGTGGACGACACTGCGAGCAAGTTGGTGTATGCCAACAAGCGTCACGTAGAGGCTAATGGCCACCCCTTTGGCTGGGAGGAGTTCAAAGCGGCCATGCTGACGGCGTTCCTAGTTCAGCCCCTGGTGCTCGAGGTGCGTAGCCGCCTGAAGAACATCCAGTGTGGTGACCAGCCTGTACGCGAGTACGCCAAGGAGTTTGAGAAAACTCTGTCGCTGCTGTAGACTGCTCTTCCTGAGAGCAAGGTTATCCACCAGTTCTTCAAGGGACTCCCCGAGCACATCAAGCGTGTGCATGTGGTGAAAGGGGAGCACCAGTGGAAGACCTACAAGGAGTGTAAGGAGCTGGTCATCAGCACGGATGTGCACTTCCGTGCGTACCTGGACCTCAAGAGCACTCGTGCTCAGCAGCAGGACCCACGCACCCAGGGGCGGTGGCTCTTGGAAGAGGCCCTATCAGCATAGGGGTGAATCCTCTGGGACTCAGTCCAAGAGGGCCCATGTTGGGCCTGCCAAAGATCCTCAGGATGATGATAAGCCCCAAGCGGGCAGCCGCATTTGTGGCAAGCCCGGCCACAAGGCCTATCACTGCCGTTGGAGGAAGTCCGTCAAAAACTCCGGCAGGCCCAACCAGGGCAAGAAGCCGGATGGTTCGGACCCTTCGGTTTGGAAGGATTTTCCGAAGTCCAACTAGGGGGTGGGTACCTAGTTGGTGAGCGAGATCGGGAAGATGAGGATGTCCTTCGTGATGAGGATTTGCTAAAGCTAGAGAAGCTTGCATCATGCAAAGTCGCTTGTTTGTATGCCTCTTCTATTAATGAAAAATCTGTTTTTAAAACTCGATCATACCCACTTGAGAACATTTCAATTGAATCATTGAGAGATAAATTTTCAATCATCTCTTGCTCGTTCAATGAGTTGCCAGCGATAGTGGATATTGTGGACCGTTGTGTCTATGATATTGTACTGGAAGTCAAATTGGACTTCCAGTACAACATTGTCCCATTCAACAAGAACGGAACGACAATCTAGTGGCAAATCAATGATACTTTGCCCACTGAAACACAGACGCCTGAACGTCCCAACGCGCTGTGTGTGTTGGCCAACCAATTTGGGCATTTTGTTAAGGCGGCTGATACACTGTTCGTGGTACAGCTCGAGAATGCTAAGGCCTTGGAGCCAGCAATTGAGGATTTCCCTCCTCAGATGCAAATACTGGCAGAGAAATTCAAGGAAGTGTTTGAAACCATCCCCGATGGACTTCCACCTGACCGCGCACTGGGCCACACCATCCCTGTTGAACCAGGAAAGGTTCCACCCTTTCGGCCTGTGTATCGCCTCAGTCCAGCTGAGTACAAGGAGGCTAAAGAACAGATCAAGGAATACCTTAGAATAGGATGGATTGAACCCAGTGCATCCCCTTACGGAGCACCAATTTTGTTCGTTAACAAGAAGGGCGGAGGATTACGCATGTGCGTAGATTATCGTGCCTTGAACAAGATTACGGTGAAGAACAGATACCCTCTACCACGAATTGAGGATTTGTTCGATCGGCTCCAAGGAGCTCAGTGGTTCAACTCGCTGGACTTAGCTCAAGGGTATCATCAGCTGCGCATCACCGAGGAAGATGTTCCTAAAACGGCTTTTCGAACGCCGTTTGGACACTTTCAGTGGCGTGTTTTTAGTTTTGGCTTGACAAATGCTCTTGCGTCATTTTAGTGAGCAATGAATGATGTGTTTTGGGAGGCAATCGGCCAATTCGTCCTGGTATACTTTGATGATATCCTCGTGTACCCGAAGACCGAAGAAGAACACACGCAACACCTGAAATGGGCGTTAGGAAAACTGCGAGAGCATAAATTCTTTGCTCGGTTGTGGAAGTGTCACTTCTACAAACGCGAGTTGGATTACCTTGGTCACTTGGTAGGCAACGATGGCCTCAAAGTTGATCCAAAGAAAGTGGCGGCAGTCCAACAGTGGCCCATTCCACAGGACGTGAGACAGGTCAGATCATTTCTTGGACTTGCAAACTATTTTCACCGTTTCTTGGAAAACTATTCCTCTGTAGTCGCTCCACTGACTGCCCTCACTCGCAAGGGTAATGCTTGGCAGTGGACCGATCAATGCCAGAAGGCATTTGAGGAGGTAAAAACCATGCTGACCAATGCTCCAGTGCTGGCGTTGCCAGACCCGTCCAAGCCCTATGAGGTGGTAACCGATGCCTCGACACTAGGGATTGGCGCAGTTCTTTTGCAAGAAGGACGCCCCGTGGCATTTGAGAGTAGAAAACTTTCCCCGGCTGAGCAGCGCTATACAACTTCAGAACAGGAATTGTTGGCGGTTATGCATGCGCTACAAACATGGAGATGTTATCTCGAAGGTGTTGACTTCGTGGTTACGACCGACCACTGTCCGAACAACTATTTTGCCACTCAAGCCACACTCACTCGCCGTCAAGCTCGATGGGCTCAACTCCTCAGTGGGTTCACCTACGATATTCGATATCAAGCGGGCTCAACGAACATGGCTGATCCTCTGAGCAGACAGCCGATTGGGGCAGCAACGGGTGTTGATGATAATGAACATGAAGCAGTGTTTGCTGCTTGTTTCAGCATCCTCGCAGCTGCTCAGTGGTTTTCTGAAACGCATCCGCGCAGGGTATGATATCGACCCTTGGCTTAAGAACCCACAGAATACAAAGGATCTCTTGTGGGAGCATGAGCTCTGGTGGCACAAGAAAGAAATTGTTGTCGCACATGTGGGAAACCTGCGGAATGATATTCTAGCAGAGTTGCACGCCACTAAGTATGGAGGACACCTGGGTGTCAAGAAAAACCTGTGGGCCCTAAGTGATGTATACTGGTGGCCGTGATTGGGCATTGAGGTCCAGCAGTTTGTAACTCGCTGTGAAACGTGTGCGCGGCACAAGCCAAGCACACAGAAGCCTTGTGGTTTGCTTCAACCACTCGAGATTCCCGATGAGCCTTGGGAGAGTTTATTGATGGATTTTATCACCGATCTCCCCAATACGCGAGATGGTTATACGGCGATTCTAGTGTTTGTCGATCGCTTGACCAAAATGGTGCACTTCGTTCCCACGACGACTGACGTGTCTACGGAGGATACGGCAAAGTTGTTAGTGACGCACGTTTTCCACTTACATGGTTTGCCTCGTGTGTTGGTGTCTGACCAGGATCCGCGCTTCACAAGCTGGTTATGGCAAGAGGTCATTAAGACGCTGGGAACGAAACTCAAGATGTTGTGTGCTTTCCACCCACAAACGGATGGACAGACAGAGCGGAGCAACCGCACCCTTGAGCAAATTCTTCGTTCTTTTATAAGCCCAACTCAAGACGATTGGGATGAATTGTTGCCAGTCGTAGAATTCGCTGTAAACAATTCAGTGCATGAAAGCACGCATGAGAAACCCTTTGTCTTGAACTGTAGTCGGCACCCCACAACCCCTGCGATGCATGGGATTAAGAACCTCAAAATCCCTGCCGCAAAGGACTTTATTGGAAAACAGCAAGCGGCTTTGAAGTTCGCTCGCCATTGGCTACAGCTAGCCCAACAGAGGCAGAAGTCCTATGCGGACATGAAACGTCGGGAGTCGTCTTTGCAGTTGGCGACAAAGTATTATTGAGTACGAAGAACATTCGTCTTAAGATCCCGAAAGCACAAAAGCTCTTCCCTCGTTGGATTGTGCCCTTCGAGGTGATTGTGCGAGTTGGTGAGGTCACATACAGGCTCAATTTGCCTGCGACATTGCAGATTCACAACGTCTTCCACACGTCTCTGTTGAATAAGTACGTTGCAGAAGGCAAGTACTTACCACCACCAACCATCGTTCTCGGGGAGGAACTCTTTTATGAAGTCGTTAACGTGTGCTAACGCGCCGTGATCAACAACGCTGCCGCAAAACAGTTCGTGAGTTCCTAATTCAGTGGAAAGGCTATGGGCCGGAACAGAACTCATGGGAGCCTTAGGAACACTTGTCCGAAGCAGCGGTTCAAGCGTATATGGAAGACCTGGCTCTACGAGCAGGCCCACAACCAGTGGATAGGGTTGACCCTGGTCGTAATGTGGTGCGCCGTGTTCGAAGCACTCATCCTCAGAAGCACGGCAACGGGGACGTTGCCACCTAGGGGGGGAGGAGTGTAACGTATTGCCCTAACTACTGCCTAGCAACCTAACTTCTCCCTAGTCAAATTTCGAGAGTTCTCTTGACAAAGAGAGAGTTGGAGAAGATAGTTGAGTTGATTGGGATGAAACTTGGTTTGGGTTTGCCAAGCCTCAACTTTGGAGGCTTGAAACTTTTCCAACTCAACCAAGAGAATATTGAGGGTTGGATTTCCAACCAGTCACAAACTGCCAGTTCAATGTTACAATCTACTCAATCTAAAATGCAACCATACAATGGTGAAAAGTTGGGTTTTCCAACCCAACCTAATTGCCACATAGGCTTCTAGCCTAGGAACCATCCTACCATGGAAGTCATGGTTGGGAGGGTTCCCCCAAGGGGTGTATTGAGGGGGTTTGAGCTACCAAGCTCATTCTTCACCTCCCACTCCAACTAATCAATTGGAAATGGGATTGTTTCTCTAAGTCCCTTTTGGCTCTCTCATACAACTTCCTACACAATTCTCTCGAGCCATTTCAACAACTCCTTCAAGAAGATTGACACCTCCAAGGCTATTGGGAGCTAGTTAGAGCTTCAACTTGTATTGGGATTTATTATAAAAGCCTTGTAAACTCCATTATAATAGCCTTGGGTGTTATAGATACTGTACTCGTCTTTATTTTCTATGTCCTCGTGTGTATGCGTGCGTGTGCGGGCATGTGCGTGCGTGTGTGGGCGCGTGCGTGTGTGCGTGCATGTGCGTATGCTTGCATGTGCGTGTGAGCAGGCAGTTCGACGGAGTGACAAGCCGACACTGGAAAGCCACTTCGCATACGACGATGCTGCTGCTGCTGCTCCGGAACGTGCTACTACTACTTCTTCCTTCTCCTCTTCCTCTTCCCAACTGGCTCGCACCGACAACCACTTTTACCACGCCTCCTCCAGTCCACATCTCTCTTCCTCCCCATCCTCCTCCTCCCGGTCCTCGTCTCACCCACTCTCTCCACCACCGGCCCTCTCTCCCTCCCCGCATCCCACGTTCCTGCTACCTGCCATCTCCTCCTCTCTGGCCCTGACAGTAGCCGCGCTACGAGCCCACCAGGTCATCGCCGTCCCCACCGACACCATATACGGCTTTGCTGCTGATGCGCAGCGAGTGTGGGTGGCGGTGGGGGATGAGCGGTGGAACGAGGAACTGAGTTGACTCACCAGCCTGGCAAGTCGCCTGCGGTTCCCACCAACACCATCTATGGCTTCACTGCTGATGCGCAGTGAGTGTGGTGTGGTGGTGAGTTGGGGAGGTGGGGAAAGGGGTGAGGATGAGGGGAAGGGCAAGGGGAAGGAGAAGGAGGGGGAGCGGGAGGGGAAGGGGGAGGAAGAGCTGAGGGGAGAGGAGGAAAGGCGAATGGTGGTGGGTCGCTGTATCTTGTGGAGCGCTTCTCTCTTCCTCTCGCCCTAAACCCCCCTCCCGCCCTTTCTCTCACCGTTCGTCAATACCACCTTCTCTCTCCACCAGATTCCCATCACTCCCGTAATTTGTTCTGTTTTTTTTTGGGTTGCGAAGCAACCTATTACAATCGTTATGTACAATTTTTTTTTTCATCCTCTTTACTTCAAAAAATGAAGGATGAAGAAAAACTAGTGAACGGTAACAAAGCGACTGAGTGCCATGTATTTGCCACTGCAATTTAGCACACTCCCCTTACCTCATTCCTTCTCATTTCCCGGTTTGTTTTAACAGAACCCATACTCTATGGGTTGCCAAAATGATATTGTGAACGTGCGACTGCTTATTCCGTAACGCATATGCCAGATGATGTTATGCGTATATGATGTATAATGATGAAATGGTGATCTAAATATTAAATGGAAAATGCATTATTATATCGCATATATAACTATGGTAATGAAATGAATGCATAGTGAAAATGCGTCACAGTTAACTGACCCAGACGCTATGCTACCGCATCCCCTGCCTAGCATGGGGGGGAGCTCAATAGCATAGTTCCTGAGCCATCCAACTATGACATAAAACAACACAATCTGTGCGATCTAAAAAAAAGGTCAATTCCATCAAATCCAGTTCGAATGGACACACTCACTGAGTGCGCAAAGAACCTTCTCGGAAATGATAGTTTGATCCTATTTTTTAAAACCCACAGACATGTGTTATTAATGCAATGGAAGCATGAACAAAAGCACATACATACACAATACGACACATACACACACACGCACATGAACACATACAAACGCAGACACATGATCACACACATTCACACAAATAAAAAAACGCTCAATGCATCAACTGTTTTCAACAAAAAAAAACAGGAGCAAAATTAAACCCTAGCAATAAGATATAATCCTACACGGAACCATCTGTATCTTTGCACCGTCCAGATTAACCTTCACTTCCTGAAGAAAACAGCAAGGTCTGTTGGAAAGAATCAGCAATAGAAAGAAAAAAAAAGACAAATGCGGAACAGTAAGGATAAGGTGCATAATTGTACCACAAAAACGCTAAGAATTCTAGCAATGATACAATACACGTGCTGAACTGATTTGATACATCAAATTTTCAGCAAAAAAAACTAGTTAACATGGATACAAGAATCCGATAACAAACACGCTGAAAGAAGCATACGGAAAGAGGTGAAACAGAAAATCAAAAGGATCAGAGAAACAAGAGAAAATAATGTGGAAAGGAAACTATGTGCAACAACAACAAACAGAAGGTATTCTACAAATATCAATCTACATAGATAGGTGAGAAAAGAACAAAGAACTAAGAAACCGATTTAAGAAGCCCAATAAGAGGAACGTTCAAAACTATAAACGGGTGCTGGTTAACAAAGAATGTACAACGTAGAATAACCCATAACAAGAGAAAATTTGTTGAAAAGGAAACGAGATGCAACGGAAACAAACAGAATTTCATGGTTAACGAACAAGGTTAAAGTCGAGATCAATACAGAAAGAGGAACAGATAAGAGAAAAAGATGAGAGGCGAAATACAAAAAAGAAGATCAATAGAACGAACTCACCTAGCTACGATTAGATCGTGCATAGTTGAAAGGGGACGCCCGTTGAATGAGTACCTCATGACTGAACGGAATGAAAACTGAAAGGCAAGGGTATATAGAGCTCAGAAACGAAATGGAGAAGATATGTATGGGTGGTGGCAATAAACAAGGAGCACATAACAAAAACTGAAATGTGGTTCAATAAAAATCTGTTCAATCTATAAACTAAGGCAATGAAGGTTAAGTATTCAAATCTATATAGAAAGAACAGAAGAGAAAATGAAGTTAGAATGTCAAAGAAACATGTGCAACTACGAGGTGACCAGGATGCGATAAAAGGAAAGGGACGATGAGGAACTAAAGAACACATGCAGGCTTACAAACGACTTCAAACTTAAGTACTTACAACAAGTCTAGAACCTAACCTTTAACAACCTGGATCTTTTAAAGACGGCCAAGACTAGAGTAAACGATTAGGATTCGATAGTTAGGGACGATAGGCTAGTTCTTAATCACCTAACTTAGTTCTAGATTATTACTTAAGGTTGATCTCACCTTGCATCTCTAGGTGGAGTAGCGTGACTCGCGGGGGAATCAACTGGCGTGACTGGCTCGAAAGGCGAGAGGCAGGGAGAAAGAAAAGGGTTGGACAAACCCTAACGCAAAGACACATACGTCGCTAAAAACAAAAGACTAATAAAATACGATACGAGGCTAACGCATATGCGCTTGCCCAGTCGGACGAACGTCTATTGGGAGCTGAAAGGTTTAAGGATCAATTCCAGCAGTAGCAATTATTCAAGGCTTTTTACGAAAGAGGAAGTACCATTTTCTAGTACACTACAGGTTTCATACTACACTAAAGTGAAAAAGTATCGTACCGATTCGCTTCGCAACCCTAGGACGACCTAGTCGCCTCTTGTTTCCTTTTTTCTCGTCCACCCAAACCCTCCCTTACCCCCTCTCGCTCCCCCTCCCCCCCTTCCCTGTTTTAGGAGAATTTCTATGCATTTACTAAGTTAATGGGTTTTTCGTTTGTTTGGTTTTTTTTTTTTTTTGGTCCCTCCTCCCCCCCCCCCCCCCCCCCCCACCATTTTTCCATCGAGTTTCCTTGTAAGGATCTTGAGAATACGCTCTATTTTCTTTTTGAGCGCTTCTCTCTTCCTCTCTTTATTGCTGCTGATGCGTTTATTTCTTGTTTCAAGTGACCTCAGCTAGAAATTCACACACTCTTCCTACTCCTCCACCTCCCTCTCCCCATTTCCCCCCACCCTGCCAGGCCAGCACAGGGGATCGCGCGCATTAACGAGATCAAGGGTCGGGATTTCAACAAGCCTCTAGCGATCGCGGTGGCGGACATTGCTGACGTGGCAGTGTATGCAGAGATCGAGCACCTGCCGCCCGAGCTGCTGCCGGCACTGTTGCCAGGCCCAGTCACACTAGTTCTCCCCCACCGTGAGTGCGCTTTTAGGAAGGCTAATGCAGCCTGCTTCTAGGCCCAGTCACGCTCGTGCTGCCCCACCGTGAGTGCGACTAGGTTTGCAGAAATTGCGTGTGTGCTGTTGCAGCTGCCTTCAATGCAACCTGCTTGCGCCCAAGCCCAGACACGTTTTTGCTGCCCTGCCCTGCCGTGCCCTGACCCCCGTGGGTGCTGCTTTTCGGATTGTAGGTGTCGAGTCTGTTGAAATAGTAGCGAGAGTTAGGCGCCATAGCTAGGAGAACCCTAGCTAGGCAAGAAACAGTTTAGGCAAAAGAGGAGGTTCACTAGAAAGCAGCAGGATACATATAGGGAACCCTAAGGGGTTGTACTCGCTATAGAGTACCCCACTGCAGGCTAGAGAACAATAACATTCTGACACACCCCCCTAGCCAAAGTGGGGTGTAATCAGCACAGCAAGCAAGCATAGAAGTAGTTCAGAAATATAAGCAAAGCTAGAGGCTAACACAGCGGGCAAGTGAGGAGGAGGAGGGACAGTGAGAGGAGAGGAGATAGGAGGCGGCGGCTGAAGCTGCAGACACACGGGCACCAGGAGTGGCGAGCACAGTGGCTACCGGGACAGCGCCCCGGACTACAGGAGTAACTGGCTCCGCGGCTAAGACGAGCGGCAGGAGCTACGGACCCACAGGCGACTGGCGCAGCGACGAGCTCACTGGGCTACCGGGACAGCGCCCCGGACTACAGGTGCTGCGGACGACAAGACGGCAGTCTCCGCTCAACCTCCCGCAAACAGTCCCACACACCCCCCACAGACCCACTGCTTCACCCTAGTTCCACTCCCCCTTCACCCCCTAGCACGACTCCGTCGGCTCCCACACACCCACCCCCCCCAGCGGCAGCTGCAGCAGTGGGAGACAGAGGAGGAGGAGGAGCAGGGGAGACCACACACCCGCCACCCCCGACTCGCCACCCCCAAACCCTAAAACAGGGCAGGGCGGGATGGCGGGTAGGGAGGTTACGGGGGGGGAGGGCGTCAGAAGGGGCGGCGCTCGCCCCCTCCCCCAGATCACCCCTCCCGTCGCCTGCCGAGGCGACCCTCGGGGGCCGCGTGCGGCCCCCGAGGGAGCCGCGGCGGGCGACGGGAAAAAGGGGGGGGGCGGTGGGGCCGCAGGGGCGCCACGACGGACGGGCGACGAGCGCGCGCGGTACCCCAGGGCGCCGCGACGAGCAGGGCATGGGCCGCGCGTGCTCCCCAGGGCGCCGCGAAGAAGGGGCGGCGGTCGCGCGCGGCTCCTCAGGGCGGCGCGACGGGAAATCAGGGCCGCGGGGGGTCGCGCGCGGCTCCCTCGGGCGGCGCGACGGGCTCCCGGGGGGGCGACGCGACCGTCGACGGGGTAGGAACCCGCCGCGCGCCTCGGGGCAGGCAGAAAACGGCCACACGCCCCGAGCGCTCGGCGGGATGAAAAACGCCGCGCGCCCGGGGCGCACGGCAGGAAGTAAGGGCCACGCGCCAGGGGCGCGTGACAGCAGTAGCGCAGCGGAAGTAGTAGTGTGGCCCACAGGCCAAGAGCGTAACCGCTCTGATAGCATGTTGGAATAGTAGCGAGAGTTAGGCGCCATAGCTAGGAGAACCCTAGCTAGGCAAGAAACAGTTTAGGCAAAAGAGGAGGTTCACTAGAAAGCAGCAGGATACATATAGGGAACCCTAAGGGGTTGTACTCGCTATAGAGTACCCCACTGCAGGCTAGAGAACAATAACATTCTGACAGAGTCCATTCCCATGCTGCTGCTTTGCCGTGATGAAAGTGTGACTCGCATCTGACTGCACTTGCTGTCGACTTGACTTAACCTGCTTCTGGCCCTAGTCATTTCTCGTGTACCCACACTCCCCTCATTCTCCCATTCCCCCCATCCCCCCCATTCCCCTCATTCCCCGCATTCCCCCCATTCCCCGCTCCACTCATTCTCCCATTCCCCCTCCCATCCACCAAACCCCTTCCTCCCCCCCCCCCTCACACCCCCCCCTCCCCCCCTTCTCCTTTTCCCTCCCAGGTCCTACCTCCCCGATACACCCCTCGCTCACCCGCACAGTCCCCTCCATCACGACGCATCCCCACTTCGCCCTTCATTCGCGCTCTCGCGCGCCTGCTCTCTGCGCCGCTCGCCCTCACATCTGCCAACCTCTCAGGCCACCCGTCTGCCATTGCAGCAGAGGAGTTTAGGGCACTCTGGGGGATGTGTGCGGCGGTGGTGGACGGGGGGAGCAGGCAGAGGAGATGCGGCAAGGGCCGACAATTGTAGAGCTGGTGCTGCCGGGGCAGTTCAAAGTGATCCGGGCAGGCAGGTGAGTCTATTTTCGAGGTGCCTCATACCTAGGAGTTTCGAGCTCTGTGGGGGATGTGTGCGGCGGTGGTAGATGGGAGGAAGCAGGCAGAGGAGATGCGGCAAGGGTCGACAATTGTAGAGCTGGTGCTGCCGGGGCGGTTTGAAGTGATCCGGGCGGGCAGGTGAGTGTGGTGGCATGGTTGGAGAACTTGTTATGTGCTTGTGCCTGTGTCTGCTCCTCTGTCTGCTCCGGTGTCTGCTCCTGTGTCTGTTCCCTCCAGCCTCCTCCCATCATCCTCGCAACCTCTATGAAGGTCAGTGTGGCTTGCTCACAAGCCATGTGCTTCTTGCTCACAAGCCATGTGCTTCTTGCTGTCCACACGGAGGAAGAAAGTGTTCTTGCAAACTCACCATGTTAAGAAAATGAGTTTGTGGAGTGATGTGGACATGTCGACAAATCCCAACCGTGGCGCTAGGCCCGTCGCGCACCCGAATTGCACACATTACCGTTACCACTTTAGTTTCGCTATATACTCTTCGCTCATGCCTTCGCTCATTGTACTGTTTTGCTTCGATAGTGCAATTCTCGCTCGCTCACTCACTTGAATTTGTAACAGGCGGGGAGGGCAATTTTTCATAAATCACACCATTGCTTACAAGTATATAAAAAACCATGACCACAACAAGAGATGCATGATGTATATTTAGCATGTAAGAACCAGAAAACAGGGTCGAGTACCGATGAAATCAATCATATATAGTGTGATCCATAGAATTAAATGTAATTCCACCATATATATTGCGATCCATAGAATTATATGTCATTCCACCATAAAGATCACTCCCAGGGCACCCCAGGGAGAGCAGCAGGCAGGGGGGCAGCCGAGAGTGCCCGGGGCACCCCAGGGAGAGCAGCAGGCAGGAGGGCAGCCGAGGGTGCCCGGGGCACCCCAGGGAGAGCAGCAGGCAGGAGGGCAGCCGAGGGTGCCCGGGGCACCCCATGGAGCGCAGTAGGCAGGAGGGCAGTCGAGGGTGCCCGGGGCACCCCAGGGAGAGCAGCAGGCAGGGGGGCAGCCGAGGGTGCCCGGGGCACCCCAGGGAGAGCAGCAGGCAGGGGGGCAGCCGAGGGTGCCCGGGACAGCCGAGGGTGACCGGGGCACCCTAGGGAGAGCAGCGGACAGAGGGGCAGCCGAGGGTGCCCGGAGCACCCCAGGGAGCGCAGCAGGCAGGGGGGCAGCCGGGGGTGACCAGAGCACCCCATGGAGCGCAGCAGCCAGGGGGGCAGCCGGGGGTGACCGAAGCACCCCAGGGAGAGCAGCAGTTGGGGGGGCAGCCGGGGGTGACCGGAGCACCCCAGGGAGCGCAGCAGGCAGGGGGGCAATCGATGGACGGCCGGGAGCAGCAGTTGGAGGAGTGGATCCGACTTTTGGAGTTTGATACCCCCATGGCGACTGCGGAGGAGTCACAGGCGGACAGAGAACCTCCCAAGCCGCATTCCCCATGCCCCCGTTTTCCGTATGACACATGTTTTCACACTTTCGCTATGCAAGGGGCCGCTGCAAACCACATGAGGGTATGCCGGGCGGCTGATGTAGAGAGGCGTGCACAAGCTCTCGGCTCGATCCCGTCTTTGGTGGAGACCGACACGCAGGAGCGACCGACGCCGCGGGAATTTGTCATGGGAATGGGAAACATTTTTCAGTGTGGAGGCGGTTGGAGGGAGGACAGTGCGCCGCATCCCACAGCGGGCCCGATCGGGGGTCTTAGACGCACTCTGTTGCATCTTAAAGCATTTGAAGAGCCAACCGGGAGATGAAGCCGCTACCCTCCTACTCTTGGCGTTTCTGTGCCTCATCCTAGCCGTGCCTCCCAAGCCATGCATAGGTCAGAAGGCGCTGATCACGGAGTGGCTGGGTCGTTCTGGGAGGGGAGGTGGTGGAAGCTGTTCGACTCTGCCATGGTGGCGGCGCGGCCAACAGTTTGCCCACTTTCCTACACTTGCTCTGACCAAGACCCGGATGCCATCCGCCTGTCACGGTGCCGATCTCGGTGCAAAGTGGGGGAGTGGAGCCGTGGATTGGCCTGCCTTATGGCAGGGGAGTTGGCTAGACCGTCTGAGGCCATGGTGCAGTCGCTGCGAGAGAAGCACCTTGCCAGCACTGGCGATGTACCACAGTGGGTCCACGATTTCACCGTTGATGCTGCTCAGCGGCCTTCACTCACGACCGACATCCTGACCAGAGCTATCCATACAGCCGCTCGAGCTTCAGCAGCAGGGCCATCGGGGTGGGTCACAGAGCATCTGCGCGACACCTTCCTCACTGAACCTTCCTGCCTTTCCCACCTGTTGGAAGTGTTCAACCAAAGGGTGGCGGGACAGGTCCCCGAGCGGGCTCGGCCGTGGCTCGCCGCATCCAACCTAGTTGGGCTTTCCAAGCCTAACGGCAACGTCCGGCCGGTGGCGATCGGGGAGGTGCTTCCTCGTATCCTTGCTCGAGCTCTCTGCATCTCACTCCGCCCTGCGATGGCTTCCTACTTCCTGCCGTGCAACCAGCTGGGAGCGGGCACCAGGGTCGGGGCGGAGATTCTCACTCATTCTTTCCGGTCAGCGTTGGCCACTCACCCCGACTGGTGTGCGCTACAGATAGACGTCGCAAATGCCTTCAATTCATTTCACCGCCATGCGATGTTTGATGGGCTGCGGGAGTCGCCGTTCTCAGGGATGATCCCATTCTTGCGTGTTTTCTATGGGACACCTAGCGACCTGTACCTCCGAGCGGGCCCTTTCGTACAGAGCCTCAAGTCGGCACGGGGATCGAGGCAGGGGGACCCGCTCGGCCCTTTTCTTTTCGCGTTCACGCGGCAGCAGGTGATGGAGCCGGTTACTAGGGAGTTCGGGGACCTACTTTTCCTCAACTATGCAGACGATACCTATATTTTGGGGCCAGCGGCTAGGATTCTGGAGGCTTTTGGGGTGCTGCGGGAGCGGTTGGAGTGGGTGGGGCTGGAGGTGCAGGTGCACAAGTGTCGGTTTTGGGAGCGCGAGGGCGGGGATGTGGAGCAGGCACTGCCATTGGGGATGCAGCGGGTGGAAGAGGGTCTTACTGTGGTGGGCATGCCTATTGGGGAGGAGGATTGGGAGGTGGTCCAGCTACGGGAGCGGCTTCGACAGTTGCAGGCGCCACTGCCATGGCTCCCCCTGCTCGACCACCCCCAGATGGCTTCACACCTCCTCGCCATTGCAGTTTCAGCGCGACCGATGTACCTTGCCCGGACTATGCCGCCACGTCCAGAGGTGGTTGAGGCTTTTAGGGATTGGGATATCTGTTTGGAGGATTGCTTTGAGCAGCTTTTCCCACCTGGCACTTGGGAGAAGGACCCCGACCGGTCTAGGCGAGCACGCATGCAGCTGCATCTCCCTGTGCGACTCGGAGGGTTCGGGATCCGGGCGGCGGCCTCTTTGTGCGGGTGGGCACAGGCCACGCGTGACATAGCACAGTTAGGGGTGGCGGGCGAGGAGGCGGTGTTTGCAGAGTACCTCACCACTTCGACAGGGGCAGAGTTTCTTGACCCGTGGTTTGTCAAGGCTCTTGAGCACCTGCCAGCGACTATCCGCCAGGAGATGCCGAGCTTACCTCTGTGTGTAGCGGCCCCTCCTCTTCGGCTTTTCCAGGTGCGGCAGCAGCAGTTAGCTGTAGAGGAGCTCCACGCACTACTCCGCTCGGCTCGTGACGATGCTACCCTGGCCCGTTTTACATCCCTTCAGGGCCCAGGGGCGGGTGCATGGGTTTCGGCGGTTCCAAGTCACTCAGATCTCACATTCACTATGGCTGAGTGGGGCATTGCTACTGCTATACGCCTTGGGCTCCCAATTCAGCAGCTGCAGGTGGCGGGGAGGTTTGTTTGCGGGACAGCGTATGTTGACCCGGTGGACCCGCATCATGCCCTGAGATGCAAGCACCAGCATGGTCCATCTCGGGTGCATGATGAGATGAAGTTTGCGATGGCGAAGATCTCGAAGGTGTCCGGGGGGGCGGTGACAATGGAGGATAGTGTCGTGCTGCCTGTGAAGCGGGTTGATGTGGCGGTCGACGACCAATGGCTGGAGAGGCTCACGCCCTAGAAATCAGCGTCGCGGACCCGCTATCGCTGTCTCCATCTCTGCTAGGACAGTGCGGGCGTCAAATAGGTGTGGCGATAAGAGAGTGGGAGCGTCGCAAAACGAGTGATTACGCGCCTCTGCTAAAAGTAACCGGGGCGTGCAGTTCACCACTCTGTTAGTAGAGACGTGAGGGGTGTCTCGGCGGTCGTTTTCGGCGGTCGTTTTCAGCAGGGGGATGCGCACGTGGGGCTAGCTGTGTCGCGGGGGGCTTGTCGGGAGGACGACACTGTGTTTTCGGCTTATCTTTTAGGGTCCCTGAAGGCGCTCATCGGGGTGGCGTTGCAGCGTGCGCAAGCCTGTGTTATCGTGCTTCGAGCGGGGTCTTCCATGGGGGGGATCAACGTCGATTTGGTGGACCGGGATAGGGACGATGTCGATGTGAAAGGCGGAGCTCTCTGGGTGGTGGCCCCGTACATGGTGGATACACAGTTGTGATTGGGGAGGGTGAAATGGGATGCATGATGGGGTGTCTTGACTGGGCGTTTCGATTGGGTATCTTGAGGGGGGTTGTTATGTGTGTTTCCCTTTCTTTCTCCATAAGAAATAAAGATCACTCCGCGCCACGTATTGATTTCTGCAAACCCAACAAGCATGGAGCTCATTGAAGGGAACATTGGTTTATGAAGCCATAAGAATGTCATACATTGGAAAGAAATGTACGCGCTGTAAATAAACGTGCATAGCTCCTTCCCAAGTCAAGAAAGCCGTCTAGGTAGAGGGAGGTGTCTTCACGGGCTGTCGCCGATTGGAACAATGAACATTCCTGCGAATCAAAGCACGACTTTGCCAAAGAGATTGCGTCGTTGCGACCCCGGTGCTTTCCTTTCAAATGCCCCCGCATGTGCCCGTGACGGGGATCAAACTGTTATGTACCGTACACAGCACAGGATATTCGGTGGAAATGGAGAAGAATCAAAGGGTTGCGAGCGACAGCATGCTGAATTTCCACCACTACGTTCCGACGGATGGCTGTAACCCTGCCCTGGAAAAACCTTCCCAAAACCTTCCTAAACCCTTATCCATCCGACACCAGTTTGAACCACGACACAACGCTGTGATCAGTGTTACTACTCTCCTATCCAGAGTCTCACAGCCAAGCCACCTTGTTTTAGGGGCTGAGAACTAGTTCATTGCAATGACGGCCTTGGAGTCTCGTCACTTCACTTTGACACATTACATCCTGTGCACCCACTCCGAACTAACAGGTTCTTGCGCTTCAGAGGGTGACAGCGCAGCTCACGGGCTATTAGTAGCGCTGCTATTGCTGCTCGGATAATTGTTCGTGGCTTACGACGATTCTGCTCTTCCAAGCCAGCGAACCCGGCCGCGATGAGTAGTAGTAGTGTTGGCGGTGGCAGTGCGATCCGCTGCGTGCCGAGTCGCTCCAGTCACCAAATCGCGATTCCGAACGCGCCCTCGCTTTCTTCCTTAAACGATCGTGTTTGTTTCGCGAACAGCCATGTCGAATCGCCTTCCACCGCGTACACCTTTCTCAATCGCAGGAACTCGATAACAGCGCGGAGTTTACGCTGCGCCGCGGTGCAGCAAGGGGACTGTTCCCATATGCGATACAAGATTCGTCCGTCACTTGTATTGACGCGGCGCGCAACAGCCGTCAGTCCCTGCTGCGCCTCGAGAGATGTCTCCGCGAATTGCGCTGGGTTCGCGCGGGGCCTTCGTTACAATCACATGGACGGCGACGACCGACTCAACGGTCCAGATCAGAAACGATCGACAGATGCAAAGTACGCAGACGGGGGCGTTTACGTTTTAACGCATAGTTCAGTTGGGGCGTTTACGTGATCACACCGTTTTATACCAGATTAGCCCCCCCTTTCCTCGTCACAACCCAGCAGAGTCCTTTGCGAGAAATTGTAGGTACTGTACTATAGGTCTTATCTTTTTGTGTACCCATGTGTATGTGCGTGCGTGTGCGTGTGCGTGTGCGTGTGCATGATTGTGCGTCCGTACATGCGCGTGCTTGCAGGCAGTTCGACGGAGTGACAGCACAGCCGACACTGGAACGCTACTCAGCATATGACGCTGCTGCTGCTATTCTTGAACCAGCCACTGCTACTTCATCCTTTTCCTCATCTTCTTCCCACCGGGCTGGCACTGACGACGACTCTCACCGCGCCTCCTCCAGTCAACACCTCTCTTCCTCCCCATCCTCCTCCCTGTCCTCCTCTCCCTCTCTCTCCCCCCCTCCCGCCCTCTCTCCCTCCCCGCATCCCACGCTCCTGCTACCTGCCGTCTCCTCCTCTCTGGCTCCGGCAGTCGCCGCGCTACGAGCCCACCAAGTCATCGCCGTCCCCACCGACACCATCTATGGCTTTGCTGCTGACGCGCGGTGAGTGGCGGCTGAGTTGGGGGATGAACAATTGAGTTGACTTAGAAGCCTGGCAGGTAATCGCCGTTCCCACCAATACCGTCTATGGCTTTGCTGCTGATGCGCGGCGAGTGCCGCGGAGAGTGGGGTGGTGAGTTTGGTGGGTTGGGGGAGGTGGGGAAGGGGCTGGGGACGAGGGGAACAGAAGGAGAGGGGGCGGGAGGGGAAGGGGGAGGAAAAGCTGAAGGGGGAGGAGAAGGGGCGAATGGTGATGGGTGGCTGTATCCTGTGTAAATCGTTTTTTCTTCCTCTCCCCCCTTACTCTCACTCTCTCTCTCTCCCCATCGCTCTCTCAACTTTCCGTGGGACGTCCAATAATGTCTTCCCTCCCTTCCCTCAACCCCTCTCCCCCCCACTCCCTTCCTTCCTTCTAGTGGGGTCAAGTTCCCCGCATGTACAAAGTAACGAAGTCAACAGTTCTTGTTTAGAGTTCACAGATATCAAGGGCCGTAATTCCCTCGTTAGGCATCTTGAGGATACCTCTCTTCATTGCACGCATGTATACCATGATACCATCAAAACCCGCAGCCCAAATTGCACAAGATTACTAATCTTTTGCTCTGCGCTATCCGCAATTTTGGGTTGCGGGCTCTAAGGCCTGGAATGATGTCGTTTCAAATCACCTCATCTGGGAACTAACCTCTCTTCGTGCTCCTCCTCCCCCTCCTTCCCCTTCTCTCCCCTCTACCCCACCCTGCCAGGTCAGCAGAGGGGATCGCGCGCATCTACGAGATCAAGGGCCGGGATTTCAACAAGCCTCTGGCGATCGCGGTCGCGGACATTGCTGACGTGGCAGTTTATGCAGAGACCGAGCACCTGCCGCCCGGCCTGCTGCCGGCACTGCTGCCAGGCCCAGTCACTCTCGTGCTGCCCCACCGTGAGTGCGACTGGGTTTGCAGGAATTGCGTGTGTGCTGTTGCAGCTGCCTTCAATGCAACCTGCTTGCGCCCAAGCCCAGGCACGTTTCTGCTGCCCTGCCCTGCCGTGCCCTGCCCCCCGTGGGTGATGTTTTTCGGAGGGTAGGTGTCGAGTCCATTCCCGTGCTGCTGCTTCGCCGTGATGAAAGTGTGACTCGCATCTGACTGCACTTGCCGTCGACTTGACTTAACCTGCTTCTGGCCCCTGTCATGTCTCGCGTACCCCCACTCCCCTCATTCTCCTATTCTTCATTACCCCACTCCCCTCATTCTGACATTCCCTCCATCTCCCCAATAGCCCCCATTGCCCCCATTCCCCCCATTCTCCTTATTCCCCCACTCCCCTTATTACCCCACTCCACTCATTCTCCCATTCCCCCTCCCATCCACCAAACCCCTTCCTCCCCCCCCCCCCCACCCCCACACCCCCCCCTCCCCCCTCTTCTCCTTTTCCCTCCCAGTCCCCACCTCCCCGATACACCCCTCACTCACCCGCACAGTCCCCTCCCTCGCGGTCCGCATCCCAGCCTCGCCCTTCATCCGCGCTCTCGCGCGCCTGCTCGCCGCGCCGCTCGCCCTCACCTCCGCCAACCTCTCAGGCCACCCGTCCGCCATCGCAGCAGGGGAGTTCCGCGCGCTCTGGGGGATGTGTGCGGCGGTGGTGGACGGGGGGGAGCAGGCAGAGGAGATGAGGCAAGGGTCGACAATCGTAGAGCTGGTGCTGCCGGGGCGGTTCAAAGTGATCCGGGCGGGCAGGTGCGTGTGGTGGCATGGTTGGAGAACTTGTTATGTGCCTGTGCCTGTGTCTGCTCCTGTGTCTGCTCCTGTGTCTGCTCCTGTGTCTGCTCCTGTGTCTGCTCCTGTGTCTGCTCCTGTGTCTGCTCCTGTGTCCGCTCCTGTGTCTGCTCCTGTGTCTGCTCCTGTGTCCGCTCCTGTGTCTGATGTGGACATGGAGCGGAGTGGTTCGGACAGTGGTGGCTAGGGGAGTGATTACCCTTTGAGACGTCTCAGAAAGATGTGGAGAGTGGTTTGGGCGGTTGTGTGTTATTGGATCTCATTGTGCTTGGATGGAGGGGAAGGGGCAGTGGATGTGTTGGGAGGGGTGGCCAGGGGAGGGGGCGAGAAGGGGAGAGGGGAATAAGGAGTTTGGAAGAACATAGGGTAGGGACGACTAGGGTTGGTCTGGATTCTCAAGTCACACGGGCAATGGTTGGGCACTGTGTGATGGTTCCCTGCCAGTCTCTCCTCCCTTCTCCCAACCTTTCCTCCTCTCCACCACTCAACCCCCTCTCGTCCCCCCCACCCTCCCACCACCCTGCTCCCAACCATCACACAGTGCCCTTCCGGCCACGCTCGCCACACTCCGTCGCTTCAACCTGGAGGAGTTGCTCTCGTGATACTCTCACATCACATGTGTGCACCATGCCGCTTCAGGCCCCTCCTTGTCGTTGCCCACCGTAATGCCCCTTCACCTGCATGGATGTCTTGCGGTTTTTTTTAGATGGGACGTCTGGAGGTCTCTGGAAGAGCCTCACTGGCGGTTTCTTTGAGGTCTGATAGGTACTGTAGGCAAGTACGGTAAAACTTGGGTCGGGCTTAGAGAGAATCTGGTGCAGTGATCTCAGATCTCTAATTTGTCAGAAGAGGCTTCGCTG